ATGTGTCTTTTCCATTATGTTAGTAATATAAAACATGTCTGGCCAAATGGGAGAGGTAATTTTTCTCTTATTCGAACCAGATTTTTCTTCTCTCCTTTTCTCCTCTTTTCTCTCTCTCTTTCTTTCTTCTTTCTTCTTCTCTCTTCTTGGCTGTTATCAGACTAACAGAACTCAAGGGCAGGCCGAATCATAATAATAACATATTGGGCGGAAGTTGTGTCTCTCTCGACGGAGACTGGTTTGCCCTATTCTGTTTGTCTCCATCTTCTCTTCTTCTCCTTCACTTTTCAGTCCAGACTTACTCTAGAACCTTTTCCTTTATTTATTTAACTAAATACAGGCCTGATAACAACTGCATTATTGTTTCTTAACCAATACATTACTACCCTGGGGTCATAGTTGTCAAGGTGACGCCTAGGCTCCAAGGCGCCCTTGGAGGCTCGCCTCACCTAATCACCAAGCAGTTTTCTATAGCGTGTTATAAAAAACCTTTATATTCTTAATTTTTTGAGGTTATTTTATTATTTTTTTATTTGTTAGGGTTTAATCAACACAAGCATTGCTAAATGCTGTATTGAACCCTCAAAGACTTCAAAACCTGAACCAATAAGAAAGGAAGAACATAAAATGTTGTCCAATCAACACATTTTCTTCTTCTTCTTCCTTTACTTTTCTTCTTTTCCTATAACAGAAATAGGGGTTCAACCCCTATATTTTTTATTTTCTATACTTTAACATGAAGTTTATACTTTTCTTATGAAAATTATGGATATTTATTAAGGAAATATGATTATGGAACCTAGGGAACTACCCTAGGATACATGTTTTTACTTAAAAAAATCCATCGCCTAGGCAACAAGGCACCCCCCCTATTGCCTAGCCTCACCTTGGCGCCTTGAAAACTATGCCTGGGGTCCTCTTCAACCCCAAAGTTTATACATCTGAGTTATTGAGCTGTGTTGACTGATGTGCTTTGAAGAAGATACTGAAATTAGTTTCATTGGAAAGCTGATTTGTTAGCTCAATGAAAGCATATTTAAAGGCTTTCTGGGGTTTTCACCAAACATAGCTTCTAAGCTTTCTATGTGGGCCCCACCTTGCAAAGCCAGAAACCGCTGCATGAAAGCCCTTCCAAACAAGCACAAACGCCTGGTTGGGAGGGCTTCTGTGTTGATTGATCTGCATTGTCTTAGCTGCTTCGGAGAAGCTACCTAAGCTTCATTGGAAAGTTGATTTTTTTACTCATGTAAGCCTATTTTCGGCTTTCTGATTTCTTACAAAACATGGCTTCACAGCATTCTGGAATTCTTAGCTCATGTAATGGTAACACCAGAAGCCACTCCCAAACAGGCACTAAGTCCTTGTAATGCTGCCAAGAGTTCTAGCCACGTGGAATCACCGAACTCACTAGGCCCTGAGAACATTGCCATTATGGTCCTATCATGCCCTCTAATACATCCCCAATCCTGGAATTTCCAGGATTTCCTAGGCTGCAGCAATTGAAGTTGAGTTGGTTTTTTTAGGGGGCAACCATTGGGCAATCCTTCTTGTCCTAGTCGTGGAAGTTACAGCTATAGTTTGCCAATTACTCATGATATCATCAGTAGATTAATCTGCAAATATGGGCAAGGTTTTTACCCATCCCACTACCCTCACCATGATGGTTTCTATTGATGCTTCCTAGATTTGGATTTTATGCTGAAATATCCTCATGTTGCACTCTTCCCATATGGTCCAAACTCCAAAGTAAAACATCTGTCATATGTTTTCATAATGTTTTACCTCTCTTCCTTCTGGAGAGAAGAAAGATGTCTAGAATAGGCTTCCCAAGTAGGATGGTGGGTTCCACCTAAACCAAAAGAAAAAAAAATCCTAAATTGTAGAGACAAATGGACAGGAGATTAGTAACTGTAAGGTAGTCTGACAACTCTTGATTATTATCCCCTTTGAACCACTTCTTTATGACCTCTAATAGACTATCACATAATGGCAGGTGACAGGGACAGAACCTGATATCATTCATGTCCATGAATGGCAAACTGGTGCTTTACCTCTACTGTACTGGGATATGTATCAATGCCTCTCAATCAAGGTATAAGCTTCTGCTCAAAATTCACTGTCAAACAATTGCCGCTTTGACTTGATTTAGCAGTTTCTAAAGTGTCATAGAATATTTTTCTTTCATCCTCTAATTTATTTATTTTGAGAAAGGTTAATATTTATAACCCTATGATTTATGATAAGATTCATAATTCTTACTTTATGATAATGCTGTTAAAATCCTATGGTTTCAGTTGAGCCTTACTATTAAATCCTGATTTTTTAATGAAATAATCTATTAATTATTGGTCAAATCTTACAACTTGACATTTAAATCATATAATTTAATGATCCATGTGATTTTATTTGAATTGGCTACAATTACCTTAAAAATGCTCTATTCTTTTCATTTAGAACTGTTTGAAGGATTTTTTTTTTGTTTGTTTAAAAACTTCTTAGAAATACAAAACTAGAATTTTGATTGGGCCATTTTTAAACATATTTGAAGAGACTGAAGATTGGGGCTTTATTTTGATCAGCAAAGAGAAGTTACTTTCATTAATTAAGATAAGATAAGAAATACATAGCAGAGCTGGTAACAACCAGCCTTTGGTCCCCCTTCAGACGAAGGAACATCAGGAAAGTGAAATAAGTAGAGTTGAGCTTGATTCTAGTGTGAATAGGTTGCTGCAAAGTAATGGTTTTATTGATGGAGAATCAGGTGGTGTAGTTCTTCAGAGATCAGTGGAGGGAAAGACTGTGATCAGGAGAACAGAAGAAGAAAAACAAGAAGTTTCAAAGACTGGGGACAGAAATGGAGAGAGAGAAAGAGCAGAACAGTTTCACAAGGATCAAGAAGTCAAGGAATTAGTACAAAATGGGAAGGTAAATCTCAATAAATTGGTGGAGAGGGAGGTCGAGATAGGAAAATCTCTTGGTTTAGCTTTTTGGGGAGGGGAAGGCTTCGCGAAAATTGCATTTGAGAATTTTGAAAAAAAAAAGAAAATAGAAGAGAAAAACAAGAAGGAAGAATACTTAGAAAAAATTAAGGGGTGGGATGAGGAAAGGGGAAAAGAGGAGGGACTGGATGAGATTGAGTGATATTGGGGGGGGTGAAGATAGGGAGATGAGGAGGAAGATGAGGCTTCTTTGTTGGACTGTGAGGGGTATGAGAGAAGGAAGGAGGGAGGAGAATGTGTAGAGCATTGGGCTTCTGATAGTGAGAATGGGTAATTGATTAAGTCTCAAAAGCTGTTTTTGATTGCAAATTTCTGGAATTTCCTTGATCTACAGCCTGTAATGCGGATTCCTTTTCATTTTCAAGCTGTAAAAATGTGTTTGGTATGTCATCTAGACAACCAATGGTGTTAGGATGTAGTCCTTTTCTAATGAAACCTTTTCTTGATTCTTTGAAAAAAAAAACAGCAACCCATTGTCATTTTACTCTCCCTTATTATAACTTTGCCTGCTTACATAATACCAGCCCCCATTACAGTTTTGCACAGAAAATATTCTCTATGAATTCCTTGCTTAACTAAAGTGTCTTCCATTCCATTTGCGGACCTTTTTACCCATAGGAGTGTAGCTTCCAACTCATTTGCTAGATTGCTCATTTCTCTTAGCTGTGTTTAGTTTGAAAGAAAAGGTAGGGAAAGATAGGAAACCTATACAAACAACCAAAGAGAGGACAAAAATATCTCCAAGCACAATTTACAAAAGGGCAAGAGATTAGTAAATTGTGAAGGTTCTTACCACTAGCCTTACAGAGAATACAAATATGAGATGAAATGCATTTATTTGGCCTTCATTTTTGGAGCACATCACAAGTATTCATTTTTCCAAGAAACACTTCCCAACAAAAGGCCATTATTTTAGGTGGAACAGGTCCACTCCAAATTTCTTTCATAGGATGGAAATTCTTATGTTACAAAAATCGTGATACATTTTCTATTCCTAGTGTTTTTTTATCAGCAACAAAGATTTCATTACTTGATTCAATTAAATTATTTTGATATTACAAATTCCTGTTGGACAGCATTCCATCTCCCAACAGCTTACAGTCTATCTGATATTACAATTTAGCCCCAAACAACTGTTCTCTATTAACCCCTGGCTTTGCTAGAACATCAACCAGACCATTTGCAGTTCTTTAACCCATGTTAATCTTGCTCCCATTTCTGTAGCTAGGTTACCAATTTCCCTTAAAGCTTGCCTATACATCTTGGCTCCAAGGTTGTTACAATACATCCATGAGATGACTAATTTTGAGTCCCCTTCCACCTCCACCTGCTTCACTCCAAGCTGTTTTGGAAGCCTCATCCCTTGTAAAGAGAGACATAATTTCAGTAATGAATTTATGCCCAGTTGGCCCTAAGTACATTGCCACGACCAAACCATCTTTATTCCTAAAGACACCCCCACTTCTGGGGGTCTAGAGTTACCCAAGGAGCTTTCATCAAAGTTTAACTTTACCCTGTTGTGTGAAGAGGGTTTCCACTCCATTATAATTGTGCCCTTTATAGTTGAGAAGTTTGCGATCGCTTCCCAAGTTGTATCCTTTATAGACAGGTGTTTTAAATGATGGATTGACTTGAAAGAAGAAGAAGAAGAACTGTTTACTGTATTAGAGAAGTAATATAGGTTCAAAGAGAAGAAAAGCGAGAGAGAGAGAGAGAGAGAGAGAGAGAGAGAGAGAGAGAGAGAGAGAGAGAGAGA